CCCCCGTCTCCCCCCCAATCAAAAATTACACCCCTGATGTACAAGCAAATATTGCAGGGAGGGGATTACAAAGGAGCATTGCAAATTTACAGAGCTTGATCTGTGAGACTGCAGTTCATTCCACAGTGCAATCAGGATAGTCCATGTCTATGAATCAATATTTCCTGCAAGTAGCTTTCTAGGTCTGCTGTATGAGCTATCATAAAATGGTCCAAAGCCCAAAGAAAACATCACTTTGCCACAATTTAAAAACAGGGTAACAAAATATATTTTTAGAATAAAAGCTGAAGTCGGAGAAACAAAATTAGCTTCAACTACTTATTAGCTCAGAGGGCCAAAAAATTATAGTGAAAGCTTCTGACCTTTTGAAGGTGCTGTACAGTTTCCTTACAGGATGAGGACTGAGAGGTCAGATATAGAAGAATCACTTTGTGGGGGTAAAAAGTGTTTACCCACAAGTGATAAGTTCTTATTTTTCTGTGCAAGTTCATTTGAGATTACAGTCACGGTCTCATTTTATCCACAAAATTGTTATTGGGGGAAGTCTAGTGCACTGAAGGAGTGGCATCACATGTTGTGACAGGTATTATGTAGGACCCCTGGATCTCGAAAGGTATGTTGATCATTGTAACAGTGGAGCTATGTCTGTTGTTCTGGCAGGGTCAGGTGCTGCTTTGAGTTGGTGTGTCCTGGTCTGCCGAGGTTGGGGATTGTTTGAAGGCCAGTACAGAGGGTTCAGGAAAGATTTATTTCAGGATGTGGTCCCCATCAAGTATGGGCTGTAACTGCTTAATGATACCCACGTGGGTTTCGGTGGGGTGGCAGACGACAACTGGGGTTGTGCAGTCAGGTGGGACGGGAGGGGCTTATTTTCATATTGTGTGAGCGTGTATTTGTGTAGCCTGTTCCATGATGTGATCAATTGCTGTCTCTTTAGTAGACTTATCCTTGGTCGTCAGTATTCTGCTCTAGAAAAAAAAACCACATTCATTTGCAGAGGGCACAGATTTGTAACTTTACAAATGCCATGCAGAAAAAAAGAGGGCAGCACCATCTTTCTTTGGTTTGCCAAAGCATCATCATCATCCCACAAGGGTAAAACTGTAAAATTCCAAAACGAGTCACTGTAAAGTGAACAAGAAAGCAAGGAATTTGAACTAAGTAATGGAATGGTAAAGTGTGACTAAAGAATAGTAACCAAGGCCACTAAAGAACACCTACCTTCCCCCACTTTGTTCACCACTAACCTTTAGGGTTGTAGCAGGTTTCAAAAACGTGCAACTGGTGGGGATTGTGTGTGAATGTAAAAACTTTGATCATGGAATCCAAAACTACCACAATTCTGAAAGAGATAAAAAGGAAACTCACAATCAAGAGCAGGGAATGGAGACAGACACTAATGCATAATTATTTCATTTGTACAGTGTCTTCAACATTAATTAGATTCTTACACTTTCTTACACCCCCCCCCACCCCCCAAACCAATGGTAACTGCAGTTCCTGAAAAAAAACACTGTCACAGCTGTGAGTTAACATGACAGATAAAACAGATGCAACAAGACAAAGCCAGCTCTTCACAAATTCAAGCACAGGTTCCTGCCACAGATCAACAAATCACAGGAACATTCTTCTGTACATGGCAAAGCAGATAAGTGTCCATGGAAGAAGCTATACACCAACTATTTGAACTCTGATGACCTCATCCTTTTAAATGGACAAACTTCTAAGTAGATTTCCAGTTGCAGACTTGTGCTTTAAAGAATTTCCTTCCACGTACGGCTAAGAAACTTTCAAGAATACTTCTACATGTAGCAGACAAATAATGCCTTGCACGTTGAATAATTTCACTCATACCTACCTATCTCTTCGCAATTTAACTGCTTTAACTTCTGTTGAAAATTCTATTTCAATCACAGTCTTCTTTTTCAGATCATCCCAGATCATCACTAAAATGATGGAAAAGATCCCATCAGAACAGTAGTAATCTTTCATTTCAGATTTCTAAGAAGTTGTACACAATCTCTTTCTAATTAGAAAGCACTTATAAAAGTTTGATAAAGTGACAAAGATATTTGTTGGACACTAGTCCTGATTTTGTATTCAGCCTGAACTTACAGCACTGTTACTTCCCTACCCCACTCCCAACAGAAGCACAATTGTAAAGTTATTACAGGTTACACCTTTAAAATCTGGGACTCTGGTCAAGCAACATTTGTGGTCCAGCAGGATAGAAAGTGAATATAACTAATTGAAATCAGAGGATTTATGTAGCCAGATTAATTATGGAAATGAAATGCAAACTAGACACAAGGGCAAGAGTGACAAGTGATCAACCCGCCCCCATTGCAAAAGCTACCAAGAGAGACAGTACCTCCAGCACAAAAGTGAATTGCTTCAATAGGAAATGAAAGAACTTCCACTGACTCAAACCACTCCCAGGAAAATTTCCAATATCACCAGGATTGACTGAACTGTAAAACCCTTACTACAAGAAATCTGTGGAGATTTCCCCCTTCCCCCCAAGTCATCTCAGACAGACTTTCAAATGGATACAATGTACAGTAAACTTCCGATAATCCAGCACCTTTAGGACCCAGGGGGTGCCGGATTATCAGATGTGCCGGACTATCAGAAGGGGGGGCTATGAGGGGTCTGGAGTAGAGTGGGAGGGGATGCCACCCCAGACCCCTCATAGCCCCCCCCTTACGATAGTCCGGCTCTGCCCCAGGCGTCCCTGATTCAGCCGCTGCTGGTCAGTTTCAGCAGCAGCTGAATCGGGGAAGCCTGTCCGGCTGCCCCAGCACTTCCGGGTTCCTGATGGTGCCGGACCATCAGGAGTCCCAGAGCATTGGATGCCGGACTAATGGAGTTTTACTGTATTTGAGAAACTTAGCAGATTTACCAGTCACTAGCCAAACTTGTAGCCCTGCCTGGTTTCGTTTCCAGTTTTGCATGGCGGACATGAAGGTCTGAGTGCTGACAGAGTCAAATGCAAGTATTCCTTCCTACAGCTTCTCTCCAACAGCTGTTTGCAAGGGAAGTCCAGGCAGTCTTCAGTCCCCACTGATCAACTCCTCCCCCTTCCTCCCAGGCAGGCTCATTACTTGCCCTGGTTCCATGCAACTCCTGGAAATGGCCACCCAGTCTCTGAAGCTCCTAGGCACATGGGCAGCCAGGTAGGCTCTGTGAACTGCCCCCACCTGGATGCCAACTCCACATCTTCCACTGGCAGGGAACCACAACCAATGGGAGCTGTGGAGGCAGTGCCTGAAGGCTCAAAACAGCATATGGGACTTCACCTAGGGACCAAAGGAACCTGGCAGCTGCTGTCTAGGACATGTGGTAAACACCGTCAGGACACACCACAAACCTTCTCCAACCCAGAGTTCCCTCCTGCACCCAAACTCCCTCCAAGAGCCTGCCGCCTCAGGCAAAGCCCTCACCCTCCTCCTGCATCCCAACCCCCTACTCCAGCCCAGTGAAACAGAGTGAGGGTGAGGGAGAGCGAGTGACAGGAGGAGATGGGTGGGTGGAGGAGGGGCAGGGGTCAGAGAAGGGACAAGACAGAAGGTACCTAAAAACGTTTAAATAAAAATGAGGGTCCTCGGGTTGCCAATGTTTGAGAACCACTGCCTCAATAGGTATTTTCTAACATTTATTTTCAACATGTATCTTGGCAAACAGTGAGCAAGCCATTACCCAACTAAAATGATGTAGAAAGAGCCACAAATATTCCAAAGTAAGTGTGGCAGAAGAAGAGTCTAGTATTCAGACAGAATTCAGCCCTGGCACAAGGATGCACAATTTCCACTGGCTCAAGAAAATACATCTCATGCAAACTTAAATACTAAAGTCATTTTAAGTAGGCTACAACATACAAAGGCTATACACAGACTTGCTGGATTTTATTTATTTATATAAATAGTTTTAGATTTAGCAGAGATGCCAGAAACACATTTATGAAATCTGCTCCTTACTGCTCAATACAGTACCTTTGTTAGGTGGATATTTTGGTTTTTTTCCTCCACCAACTAATGCTAAATAGTTGCACCGAAATAACATTTCAACATGGCCAATGCCTCCTTCTAGAAATTCTGTAAAACGAAAAAGGAAATCTGTAAATATACACAGCTCTTAATTTCACAGCAGAATGGGTCTAAGCATTGGAATGTTTTCTTTGTTATACCAACTATGACATGTTAGTGTTTTTTATAGAAGTGCAAAATATGGTTCAGATCAAACCCATGTTAAGAGGCCTTTTACTGCCTTGCCACAAGAAAGGTGTGTCAGTATAGGATTAAGACTACTCGCAG